TATTCACTCACTCACTTACCCACTCTCACGTGGCCGTTTCATTCGATACTACTAAAAGCAGTTTGTTTTTTTAGTTTCAGTGTTGTGTGTTCATGTTGACGTCACGGACCAAAGATCATATCCGGACTTTGTAGATGTAACTCAAATTGTTGAAAAGGCAAAATGGTGGTGACAATGATAAGAATGGATCATATATGACACCAGGTGTTCGCGAAAACGATAAGCATGTCCTACCCTACAGTTGGCAACCTATGCCTTCTCAATTGCAAGAAGTTACCTCAGATTATCATTCTTGTTAATGTTACGTGGACAATTGTAAAGTGATAGCAGAAACGTCACACATAGCCAAACATAGGTGTGTTAGATCGCTTTGTGCACGTTAGCCATGTGTATGGTTCATAATTCCCTACTGGTCGCTATATCAGTGGCATGTGCTGAAAAATCTACATGAAACTAAAATGTATCTGTATTAAGTCAATCATTGTCCAACACAAATATCGGAATGATATACTGAATAATACCATATATGGTATCATTTCTGTAAAACCGTGACAAAATTGAAAAGCGTATAGCCTTAAAATGTGTAGCAATAAATTGACAGGAAGAACTAAATGACAGTAACTACTCTCAATTTCCCACCCTCACGATCCCCAAATACATGACGAAAATACACTAAGTCCCTAGAATGACGTCCAAATGTTAAGAGTTCGGACGTAAAGTCCATTCGACACCTACATCTGCAGCATTGTCGTTAACCGACGTTGTGAGCAGAGTTGGTCGTCAGTCTGGCACGGTTCTGTCCCCAAGAGGACTCGTTGACAGAATCTGAACTAAAACTGTGGTCTATCATACTGCGAGAAACAGATTCATTTGCCTTCAAATGTCTCGCTGTCACATCCGTCTGAAACTGAACGTAAATGTACGTATATGTCTAGACGGAAATTCAGTGATGTCTTTTCTATCAAGACGTAACATGGCTACCCCTGGCAATTCAGAGAAACAAACGTTAATCCTTTCTAGCAGGTTGCCAGTATCAGGCATCGCCCGTTGGCATGGATTGACGGACGGCTTAGGGGTTACACAGTAAATGTTCTGAGATCCAGACACATGAACTATGGACTTTCTCATAAAATTAGCCCGCTGCTATGAAACTCTTATTCGCCACTAAAAGGCAGAATACCTGTTCGGTTATATCGAGGACATTTATATTTGCAAGGCAATTCCGTTCGTCTACGGTTACTGAACATCGTTAGCGCTCAGATTCTAGATGTTGAGTTTCACAGATGGAAGAGTGGAAAAGGTTATACAGAGCATTAAAATGTGAGGAAACATTGATATATTTGTACCGATGGCCGATCTGTCGAGATAGATTGGACTGATCGTTACATTGCGTGTTGTGAACGTTGTTTTAGTGTTTTATTAAGGTCGTGGAACAAAAGCGGTTCCTTGTCACAGCCCATCTGCTCTTAGTGGGCGCTACTCGCGAAATTCAACTCCATTTCACATAACCCCGATTTGGAATATAAATGAGTTACACAATTTAAGTGCAAATCATGTCGATTTCGATTTTGTTTTCATAGTCGATTATTTCTTTGATTATCATGACAACATAAGCAATTTATATTCATCTATATTCATTCCAAAAAAGATTTGGTTATTCCATCACTCACTGTATGATTCTTTAATGCTGTGTATTTTTCTAAATCACACAGTTAATGTTCAAGTAAATTAGTATATCACCAACATGAGCGATCCCTAAAACGGAATTATGGATTTTTAAACAAAGTATTGAAAGAGGACATAAAAATCTCATAAAAACACATTCAAATGAAACATCATCATGATGTTACAGTAATGGATGCATATATGTTTAATTTTTTTGTTTTTAATTATTTTATTCTCATGGATTAAAAGCATTGATACAAGTATGAATATTCCTGACTTTGATTTTTTATAATTTGAAGAATATTATGTAAATAAACATCACTATTATCAACAATAAACATCAAAACTGTCTTTCACAATATTACTGAAATTATTTTTAAAACACTTTACTTTGTAAATTGTTACACAAAATTCAATTGTCATTCACAGTCTGAAGTTGATGAATCTCTATTTCATATCTGATCCTTTTATGTTTTCTTTTCAATCGGTTCTGGTTTAATGTTGATTAGAATACCATTGATTCTCGCGCAGTGATATAACACACTCTCTGACATTTCACCAATTAGCTTCAATAGAATCGTCGTTTTACACATTCCAAAACTAGAACTGACAGATATTATAAGACGGTCTTTGAAACCTGAACAACTTAAGAGTTCTTTAGAAATCTGATTTTTTCAGAAACGTACAAACATTTTCATTACATTTCCTGTATATGAATATGCTTAACGATGGTTTGAAAGGAAGTGTTTTGGAGTTGATGTCTACTGGAGACCTTCAATCGAAATTGATTCTACGCTGGTTCTGATCTGTTTTGTTGGTTGGTTGGTTGGTTGGTTTTTTAACGTCGCACGCAGCAATATTCCAGCTATATGGCGACAGTCTGTAAATAATCGAGTCTGGACCAGACAATCCAGTGGTCAACAGCATGAGCATGAATCTACGCAATTGGGATACGATGACATGTGTCAATCAAATCAGCGAGCCTGACCACCCGATCACGTTACTCGCCTCTTACGACAAGCATGGGTTACTGAAGATCAATTCTAACCCGGGTCTTCACAGGTACTGAATTATACACGTAAAAACAGTTTCGAATGCACAGGTGTATGTTTGAATATACTTCCATGCCATTGTCGGTAATTCCAACCAGGAGGTACGATGGCCCAGTTGTCTCAGGCGCTTCGCTGTCCTGAGTTGCGTCCCTTGGAAACACCAGAATCATATATTTGTGGGTTCGAATCCCGTTCCTAGGTGTGTCAGTACCATAACAGGGAATTGTAATACGTTGTAAACGCCAGTGACCTGCATTACTGCATTCTTCCACATTCAGCTGCCACGCCGTAATATAAGTGGAATACTGTTAAAATCGTTGTTACACTCACTCACACATTCAAACCATTCTGTGGCACTAATATTGGCGATGCAGCAATCTCTATGTGTTCTATGAAGTTGTCATCGAGGAGATGTTTAGGGAAATTACACAAAACAGGTAGTTCGGATAGAAAGTTTTGGATGTATCGCTCGTGGAACTATTGTAGCGATGGGGTAGCCTAGTGGTTAAAGCGTTCGCTCGACATGCCGACGGCCCGGGTTTGATTCCCCATGTGTGTACAAAACGTTCAGCTGGTGTCCCCTATTGCTGGAATAATGCTAAACGTGGCGTAAAACTATGGTCGTGGAAGGTAGCAACGATAATCCAAATCCACATTAAAGAGACACTCAAGAACAGCATAAACAAGAAAGACAATAAACTCGTTTCAGTCCTACTAGTACATACCATGTGATGATTAACAGTGACATTCCTCATTTATCTTGCAAAATTGTAGGTTGTGTAATGATCTAATTATATGGTGATGCCTTCGCATCATGTAAATGAATGGCAATACATGGCCATTATTTACAGCAAATGTGCCGATATATAGCACTGTATAGCAATGTATGCAATTATGTTCCAGAATATGAAAATGAGCGACGATATATAAATATTGATGTCAACAGTATCAAATAATGTATGTAAAAGTATGCACAACTATGCTAAAGTATGCTAAAGTATGACAATGTATCAATTATCAAACTGTTGTAATGTTACACTTGAATATGTAAAGGACTACATTGGCGTGAACTGTTAATGAAGTGATGTTGTTCTCTGGTCCGAGCAGGCAGTTCTAGTCTCGTTTCTTGGCCGTGTTGTACATTTCGCAATCAATCAGGGTCATCTTCTTTCTACCATGGGAAATATACGTTCTACATCAGATCGCGTCTTTTCCGTGAAATATTGCTATTTGCATCAGTAAACGGACGTGACAAGTGTATGCGTCCTTCGGGATTCCTGAACAATAGGAAGGCTTCTGTACTGTATCGTTTGTTTCTCATGGAAGTCATCAATGTAATCGATACATCTGTAGCGTGATAATCCGATGAAAGGTTTCTATGTCAGGATAGATAGTGATCGATATGGTATTTAAAATAAGGTTTGTTCTAGTTCATCTTTGGGCCTTGGCGTAGCCTTGTGGTTGTAACGTTTGGTGGTTGTAACTGAATGAAAAGTATAAACCTCATTTCTAGTGTCCCAGACCGTCATACTGCTGGATTATTGCCGCAGGCAGCGTAAAAACTTACTGTCTCAAAATAATGTGTGACGTTCAAAGATCTGAAAGAATATGACATTATGGCAAATATGTTTTGTGCGAAAAACGTACTTAGCTGATATGTCAGATCTGTGATGAATATGTCAAAGGACGTCATATCCTACTCCAACCCCTGGAGTGATTTCTCCAGTTGTGGCTAAAAAGTTTAAGAACCGAATGTCGTAATGTTTCAAGGGCATTTCATAAAACGGACTGGTTTTGGAACTATTTTCTGTCGCCCATCGGTTCTTTCAGTTGTCCTTTCAAAGACTATTACTTGTTTATGTGTGATTGCCAAACCACTATGAATACATTACCGTTAGCAACCATTCCATACCCGGGGAGTGGATGGGTAGGGTGAGATGGGTGGGCTAGATGAAGTGTTCACATCAACTGTATAAACCTAACCCTAACCCAAATGAACATGGCTGGATACCCAGATATGATACTGATAAACGTTTTAAGCCAACATATTTGAGAACAACATTACGATAATGTATATATTTCAGCAGACAATTTCCTTTTTGATAATCTGAAGCATATTTATGTTTTCAAGCATTTACGAGGACAATTTAATACTTTATATAACCGCATCCCAAACTCCTCACCCTGTCCCAGGGAATTTAATTGTCAGTTCCTTAACACTGTCGTGATAATCTGAATCTTTTATAAAGGATGTTAAATATATTTTTGTCTATTTTCTTTCAGAATCACCTCTTATCATAGGAATAGCAGTAATTATAGCGAGTTTTGACAGTATTTCAGAAGTCAACATGGTAAGTAACCTTTTTGTGCATTCATTTATTCAAAGTCTAATGCATATTTATAAGTTATATGAATATTTAACCTGGATATTCCCTGCACGAAAGAGTCATAAACTTGTGCGTATCTAAAGAGAAAGTTTTACTTTCAGCGTATTATCTCATAACAGCTACATTTCAATTACTTATCCGTGTATAGGTGTACAGATCACGGTGTTAAGAATCGCTGAGACGCATCAATCCGTCGCCTCTTCCCAACCCTACCAAAGGGCAGATATATTTCCAATTCCACTAAAGCAAACTCCATTACGTGAAAATAGTATTGATCTCCTCACAGAATTGTAACGTAAAATAACGTTTACAACACATCTTGAGCTCCAATAACTTCATTATCCCCACCGACAACGTCGTATAAACGTTGCTAACTGGGTATAAACGCTCATGCCAGTCTCCACAGATCGTCTCCAACGTTGCTGGTAGCTGAGAGGGAGCGGTGGCTGGTGGGGTTGTCAATCAACACTAGTTCACTGCTCTATATTGATCAAAGGCCAAACTTATACATTCTTGTCTCCAGTCGTACATCAAGGGTTCCAAATTGCCAAGAACACTTTTAATTGCCTGTTGGCCAGTTCTGGACATGGGTCAATATTCTTCCCCAGGGATAAAGAAGTACCAAGGCCAGTGGCTATTTCTGAGCATTTCTTTGGTCCGTGTTCAGATTTGCCCAAGACTTCCAAACTGCCAAGAACACTTTTAAACGCCTTGTGGCCATCTCTGGGCATGGGTCAATATTTTGCCCTCAAGAAAAAGAACCACAGTGTCCAGTTACCAGTTGAACATCTCTTTCGTCCCCGTTCAGATTGGCTCAGGGACAATATGATGAGCCAAGAGACAGTGGTGGACGGCTGTGGTTTAATGATGACGCACCATTGATTGTGGAGAGAGTGTTATGGATACCGACTCCATAAACCTACATTTGACACAATCTGTCTTATAAGACGAGCGGTCACCACCGGTTGAATATGCCAAGCGTACAACTAGCCAGTAATGATCAACCAGAAATGTACACCGAATGGACTTGCGGATGAAATCCGAAGCTTAATCATCATGCTCGTAGATCTCTTTCCAGCTGGTCTACAATTTTGGAAGATTAGCATCGCAAGAAGATAAGTTTAAAGAAAACCCTCATCCCGTAATCAATCATTCTAGGCTTAACGCTACAGGTGTAAATTACAGTTGAACACGCCCACATCGTCAGACAGGTAATCACCTAATACAGTCCTTACACATTCGGCTCATGACAAAGGAAAACGTATAAACAACGAAGGTAAACACATGGGAAAGTCATACATATTGACTTGGTATCATTCAACGATTGCCTTTTGGCTTGCAGTAAATACACATGTTTATGTCAGTTTTCTGGTCCTGTCACTGTACCGGATCCCAGACAGAGGCCTATCAACAAAATTGCGTTATCGACCTTCCTCGTTTTGTGGCCCGTCGAGCACGTCTCAAGACCCACAACTTAACCTTTGTCGCTTGATGCTGTTTTCCACAGTTAACAGCGTGTTGGCGACCAATATCGGACCTGCCACGACCCAAAAAAATCTTTTTCGGATCAATGTTCTTCAGCGCTTTCTAGCCTTCGTAGGATCCAACGTATATCTGTGGAATCAGACAGTTTATGCCCACAGGGGCTCCCTTAGGACGCCGTTTGACGTTATTCCTCCATACAACTAAGAACTAATTCATGGTGAAACTGTGCCCTGCAAAGGTTGAAGACGTAGATTAGATTTGAAGAACGCATGTAGAATTGGGCTGTTCTTACTTATCCCGTTTCTGTATATACACGTAAAATTTAATAAACATATTTACATCAGTGCTGACAGCTATATCTCTTGAGACGTTATTGTAGAGTGCATTGGCGACTGTGTGTTACAAGAGTGCTGTGATTTGGTTTTGCCGCGTGGCCTGTAGCTTCAGTAATGATTACACATTGGGAGCATTCATCATTTTACTGGCATAAACTCAGAAGATTTCTGGCTCGAAGAAGGAATTAGGATAGTAACAGATGATGTTTCTTGAGACACAGTTTGGGTAATTACTTCAACCCGTAACTTCTTAGTACAGTAAATTTGGAAATAATGATGACGTTTAAGACCTTAAGACACCGTGTGTCCGAATGTAATTCTCCTTCCCTAAAGGCGCCTTGTCAATGCCAACTGTGCTGTACTGGGTGTACCTAATGGCTATATATAGGGTTACAGAAGCCACACATTGTAACTCTGATCAGCAAAACATGTTAAGCCAAGAAACGACCTTCATTTCCAAGAAGTCAATATTGGATTTCGTCGCAATCAGCAATATTATGGCATCCTCATTGATGTCGTTTCTAACCATAAGTTGGAGGTACTGGGGATTATGCTGCCATTACCAACGGAGTTCATACAAGGGAGCCTTTAGCGACGCCCCTGGTGCATTACGACACCCAGACATTGGCTTTTCGTGTTTTACTTATCAATGTTGGAATCGAACCTAGTCATCGAGTCATCGAATAAACCAATTTTCTACTCAGTCACACCAATTCATACAAGATAAAGCATGAAGTGATTTTTTTTCAATGCTTCAAGGTACATTCGGATAATTCGAAGTTTTTTCGACTTTCGAAAAAATCATACATACTGATTTGGCAAATGAAGTGATTTTCTTTTGTTCAAGATGTAACCATATTATTTTAGAAAATACTGTCGCGAAGAAAACACGTTATTTTATGAATGACTCGGTTGTATGTTGAGGAGTATTTACATGTATTTAATGTCAGATTAGACAAACCATCAAATCTGTGACAACAAATCATTGCCAATTGCCAATAAACGATGTCATTATCAAATCTAAGTTAGCTTACACAAACATGTTGATTTCACAACATTCACACGACCTTATGTCTGACATGCTCATGTATACGTCAAAATAGCGTACTGACTATAAGCCAAAATAACATCTTGACTATACGTCAATATAGCGTACTGACTATAAATCAAAATAACATCTTGACTATACGCCAATATAGCATACTAACTATTAGCCAATATAATATTGTGGCTATATGTTATGATATCATTCTAACCATATGCCGTGATAACACTTTGACCCTTTGCTTTTATAACACCCCGGTTCAATGTCATGGTAATGTTCAAACAGTAATGCATTGCTGATATATACTAGTTATTTAATACTTTGTTTACGAATCCTTCGACTATTTTATTCTGCCGACAAGAAATAGGTAAACAGTTTTTTTTAGAGAAAACGTCTTTTCCGTCTGTATCAATACAACTTAATTCTTTCACATTTTCGAACAAACACATTTGTAAAGTGTATATTAAACGTTGCTGTCCCTTTTTAATAATGTGAAGAATCAAAACATATTTTGGAAATGGGATGTTGGACAATGACTGTTGAGCCGCTCAGTACTGCAAGGGTAGACAATGCTTGTTCAGCAATTCAGTACTCAAAGGGTAGACACTATCATCATGGCCTCTGTGAACAATGCCTATTCAGCAATTCAGTTCTCAAAGGGTAGACAATATCATCATGGTGAGGTGAGGTGAGGTGAAATTGGGTTTTACGTCGTACTTGAGAATATTTCGCTCATATGACGACGTGCATGCGTGTGTATGTGTATGTGCGGCTGCTTGTACTAGCCCAGACTTAAGCTGGTTTTATAGTGCTAGCTCACTGAGATATCATGCCGCAGTGAAGCATGAATACCCCACTCAGACACATTATACTGACTCCGAGCTGACCAGTCCTTGTTGTACCCATTAATGCCGAGCGCCAGACAGGGACCAACAAGTACCATATTTTAACGTCTTTTGGTATGACGTGACTGGGGATCGAACCCACGACCTTCCGGGCGGACGCTCTAATCACTATACCACGGAGGCGGTCTATCATCATGGCGTCTGTAGACAATGCTTGTTCAGCCATTCAGTACTCAAAGGGTAGGCAATATTATGATGGCTTCTGTGGACAATGTTTGTTTAGCCGTTCAGTACTCAAAGGGTAGACACTATCATCATGGCTTCTGTGGACAATGCCTGTTCAGCAATTCAGTAGTCAAAGGGTAGACAATATCGTCATGGCCTTTGTGGACAATGGTTGGTCAGCCATTCAGTACTCAAAGGGTAGACACTATTATCTTGCAAAAGGAGGCACCATCATAATTGCTAGTGAAGACAATGGTTGTTCAGCCACTCAGAACTCCAAGGGTAGACAGTATCATCATGGTTTCTGTGGACAACGTTTGTTCAACCACTCATTACTACAAGGTTAGACACTATCATCATGGGTTCTGTAGACAATGTTTGTTCAGCTTCTCATTGGCAGGATAACGTAATAGCTCCACACGATAAGGTTGCCTTTGCACAGAGACCTGTGTTTTTTAAACTATCTTGTGATAATGATTTATTTCAACATCACATGGAGCGAGATAAATCGAAAGTGATGTGTATCACAGCTCTCAGTAAAACCATTGAAAGTTCAACATTGATAAACCTCCCTGTACACTACTGGGATTTGCAAACAGTGGAGAGTCTAATGTTCTCATAACCATGACACGACACAGAATTAATGTGTGTGCAGCGATCTCATATCCGTGGAGATTTCAAAGTAGAATAGGCCAGCAGTACCTTATACTTGATGCAAGAGCCAGCTAAATTGGGCTTTGCGTGGTTTCAATATATGACCTGGATGGTTGTGTCACCATGCCCCGACTGAGGGGGTCGTTTGCTGATCCTGTGGGCACAGGCACGTGTGTTCCAGACTGGATTGGTTACAGAACTTCGTGATAAGGTAGTGATATCTCTGACAGAAGACAATATCTTTCGCTCGGTGAAGCAAGTTTCATTCTGAGCAGTCACCCTCCACCCCGTCTCTCTCTCTCTCTCTCTCTCTCTCTCTCTCTCTCTCTCTCTCTCTCTCTCTCTCTCTCTCTCTCTCTCTCTCTCTCTCTCTCT